CAGCAACTAATACTCTGCACTTACTGCTGCTTCTCTGCAGTGAGTGCAGCTGAGTGAGGGTCAGATCCGATTTTAAAGCAGGAACTCCAGGCAAGGGGGATGCAGTAGAGAGTACAGACATGCTAGCAGGATTACAGTTCTTGGCAATCGCCCCCTTTAATGAATGCGCTGGCTTCCTAAGCTACTAGATGAATAGGCTTAGTGCTTCAGCCCTCGGGTCTTGCACAACAGATGCAGTCAGTCTAAACACTGCCTGTCTCTCTTCCATTCCCGCCCCCCCCAAGCTAGAGACGTTGAGCCTTGTACATTGGCCCAGCTATATCTGCCTTGACTTTGTTTTGGCTGTCAATGTTTCGCCTGACGAGATACAGTATTTAAATTCTGCAAGCAATGCTTTGAAGGGGGGAGGGGGGGAAGGAAAAAAAAAGACCTAGACTCAGATCCTCCTGTAGCAATATTCTTGAACAACGTTCCTCCACTACGGCACTGCACCATAAAATACTACGCTGCAGTACGACACCGTAAAACACCAACACTGGCCATAATGACTGGTGTTTTATGGCTCTTTGCGGGTGTAACTTTGAATTATTGTCTGCTGTAAAATCCTGCAGTCTGTTTAATGGGATTCATTCTAATGAAATGTGCTGGCTCTTTTTCCCCTGTGCCCATGTTTATACTTCCCTGGGGTTTTCTCTGTACAGAAGTGAATATGGAGATGGATCCTGAGTATTGAAATTCAGACCCATCTCTGGCATTTGCACCTGCCAACGCTCAGAATTGTGCAGATCCAGCGTGCTTAGTTCACTCCAGCTGGGAAATTTGCATCCAGGTTTGAATTCTGACCCTCCTCCCCAAAATTCAGGTAGGTCTGGATACGGAGTTTTGGATCAGACCATCTCTAGCTGCATGGGCCTGATCCCACAAGCTTCTCTGAGCCCTGCTCCTGCACCTTGCTCTGCACAGCTGGACTTCATTGACTTCAATGGGGCTTGAAAGGCAGGGATCTGCCTATGCAGAACAAATTGTGTTGAAGTCCCATTGAGTTCATTAGTGGTTTGCAGAATATATAGAGTACATAACTTCTGCTATGTTTTCCATCCCCAGCCACAGACTGTATTTCTAGCCTGAATGATGTTTACAAAGACAGGAATAAAAGCAAAGTCCCAGTTAGACAGTGCAGTTTATTGTGCGTCTCTGGCTCCATAACACACTGTCAGTTTAGCCTCACAAAATGTCAGGGGCCTTTGCAGACAGCAGACTACTAGCAACCTTAAAGGTGTGGTACACAGAAAAGAAAATCGTAAGTTCTCAATTCGTGCGCCTCCATTTCTTTTAGTGATGATGTCAATTGCCAATGTTACATTGTCTGTCAGTCTTAGTTTTGCTTTTATTCCCTAACATCGATGAAGTTTTATTCTGGAAAAAACAGATGCAAAATCTGGTTTAAGTTTAACATTTGCCTTTAACCTGTAATTTGCTCAAACCTAACCTTGGCTGCCAGGTTATAGCTGCTTGGTGAGTGCTCAGCATCAGGCCTAGAGCTGGATGAATGGCTGCAAAAGAATTCGAACATGCATTTGAAATCTGACTTGGGATTTGATCCATCCGTGCGTTCTCCTTTTCTGCAAACTTTCACAGGCCAGTCTTCTGTTTGCACTAATATTTAAGGATGAGCTTTTTGGTGTGCAGATATGGGTATTTGTGCCGGAAATACTTGCCAACCATTTTCTATAGAAATGCAATTACTTGGCGTGTCAAGAGAATAAATGTGATACAAAGACCAATTGTAGTGTTCAGCCACCAGAAATACAGAACACCATGTAACTGAGTGTATCCTCCATCTCTTATTGTTTTTATAAGGGGATCAAAAGAGAGGGTAGCTACCCCATAAAATAATAATATTGGAGCTCAACAGATATGAAAAGAAGGAGGCATAGGGTTGCTGGAAAGTAAAATATAAGCCCTCAGTCCTGCTGTAAGGTCTGGGTGGGCAGATTTCCCCATTGACATCATTGGAACTCCATGCAAGTGCAGGAGGTCTGCTTCCCCAGACCTTCTGCAGGATCAGGGCCTAAGACTCTGTTTGGCAAACAGAGATGCAAGATAGTGTGTCAACATGGGGGAAAAGGGGTGGGTGGAATGGAGAAATTGTTGCTTATAAAATTAACATGCAAGCTGCAGGGAAAAATAAAGTGAACTAAAATAATATAGTGTGCTCGAAGGGCCAGTCCTGCAATCTGCATGGGAGAAAAACTCTTGTGGCAGTGTCTGATCCCGACATGTGTCTTGCCTCTGCATGAACTGCAGTGTCAGGCATTGAATCAGTGTTGTCAGCTCTTGGATGTGATTGCTAGTCTAATTTTTGGGCGGGTATTTTTCTTAAAGCTCCAGCTCCTGGAGTCATGTGAACATGTGAGACTCAGCTTCCATTAAAAAAAAAGAAAAAGAAAAAGGCAAGTTTCTAACCCCCAGAGCTTCAGAAAAAAAGCTTGAAAATGAGACCTGAGTGTACCCCAAAGGTTCAAAAACCAGAAGGCAAGTAAAAGGAACCCCAAAGTTATTGTTTTTGTAAAATCTCATTATTTTTGAGGGCCTGACCCACGATTTTGCGGTTGGCAATGCTGCGTGTGTTCTTTACAAGAGAATCAAAAGCAATTGTTTGAAGTGAAACACAGCCAGCATTTAGTATGTTTAGAGCTTTGGGTGTTTGCACTAATTTCTTGATCCTTCAGAGAAACAGGAAGTTATACATGAAAGAAATGTGGAACCTCTGGAGCAGAGAAAAGCCATTAGTAGTTTCATTCATCACTGAATATACATCTTAGGGCAACATGGTCATTTATCTGATTTCATACATGCCTCTCTGATTTAGTATTTGTAGCAATTGTGATATCAACTTAAAGTAAATTCACGTGATCCTCCATTAATTTGCATGGCAGGATTGATTAATTTCTAGCATTTTTAAAGAAGTTTCTGTTCTCCAACATTTATATATGAAAATAAGTCAGAACGATGATATTTAAAAAATGGCATCATATTCCCATGGAATCTTGTTCTGGAGCTGATACTCAAGTAGTTTGGGGGAAAAGTGTGTTTGTATGTATGGGAACTCCAGGAAGCATTAAGGGGGTATCTGAGGATAAATAATAATAATCTCACATTTTTAGAATGTCTTTCCTCCCAAAGTGCTTTACAGCTGCTATATGGAGAGCACCAATGACATGCAGCCACTTCTGGGGTGGAGCCTGGCAATCACTTCACAGTACAATGCGAAACAAGGACGTAGGTGGGGAAAGGAGGTAAAACCTCTACACTTAAAAAAAGAGCCACTGGTTTATCACGTCTGTACAGAACAGACAGTGCCTCTGGGTGGGATCTATGAAGGGACTTCGGCATTGCGACACTAAGCGCATGGTGCCTAACTTTTAGGGGCGGGAACACATCACGATCCCCAAAGCGGAGTTAGGTGTCTAGGCTCCTTATACAACAAATGGGGAGAAAGGCACCTTAGAATGGGATCCACAAAAGCCAGCATGCTAGGCGAGGAGCCACCTAAGTTCCCAATGGGAGATGCCAATGAGAGTGGTACGTACTAAGCCTTGCCCCTCTCTTGGAGACAGGCATCTAAATAGAGATGCCTATCCCTGCTAGCGATCCACAAATGGGAACTAGCCACCTGGAGGCAGGCAGCTTAGGGGGAGACCCCTGTTCAAATCCTTTCTCCCCCTCTGCCATGGATGAATGCTCTAACCACTGGACTGAAAGTTATACCGTGGGTGGCAGCAGCGTCTCCTCTAGCAGGATTTTGAATGGGCCCCGATCCCATAGGCGGCCCCTGAGCACGACAACCAGATTGGATCCTGCATGCAATTCAGGCGTTTGCCTGCCTATCTTCCCCGGGGTTTTGAATCGCTCTGGGGTTAGGTGGAGACAGGTGTCTGGATTCCTAGACAGATGCAGTGCACGGGCCCCCAGGTAGAAATGCAGGCGCTGAGGAACTTTTGCCCTGACCGCTTAGGAGCTGAGCGCGTTTAGGCGCCTACAGGGTTTGGTGGCGTTCTCTGGCCAAAACTGGGGCTTAGGCCCCTAATGCCCAGACTTAGGTGCTGACGTACCTTTGTGGCTCTGGGCCTAGGTTTTGAAGTATAATCAGCAAGGTACTGGGGCCCTGATCCTGCACTGAGCTCTGCGGGTGGATCCCCAGTGCAATCCATGGGCAGGGAACAACTGGCTGGGCTGGGGCCCAATTTCTGGTTTTGCATGTGAAAAAAGACACATTTGGCCCATGTAAAGGGAGTTCCAAGACCGGTCTAGCCTCGGTGGAAAGAGCCCATCGCCCCGGTCTAGGGAGCTCCCAGCCAGTATAGGGAAGGTGCTGCAAGCAATCGGGTGCCCCTTTGGTGTGGCATTGTGGAATCCCTCGGGAGCTCAGCCCCGGTGAATAGACGTGTCTAGCGAATCCTTCCAGCCCCTTGCGCAGAGGGAGGGGAGCGGGCAGGGCCGGGGAAATCCTGCGCAGGAGAGCGGGAGGGGCCCCACACCGGCTTCTCCATGCACAGAAGGTACCTCCGGCAGGTGGCTTCGGGGTCCAGCTCGCGGCTGCAGGGCTGGTCCTCTCTCCCCGGGCTGGGGCTGGACCCGGGGCCCCCGTTCTGCCCCCCGAGCCCAGACCCTGCCCCAGCTGGGGCGCTGCTGCTGCAGCCAGGTGAGCTCGTGCAGCTGCCGGCAGGCGGCTCCTGCCCCCACCCGGGCCCGGCCGGTGACAGCTGCCTCCTCCCCGCCTCCATTGGCTGGCGAGCCGCCCTAACGTCAAGGCGGCGCCCAGCCCCCCGTGCAAAGGCTCCGCGCGGCTGCCGGCGCAGGGGGAGAGGATGCTGCTGCGGGCAGGGGCTGCCTCCCGGCCCTCCAGCAGCGGCGGCGGCATCCCCCGCCCCTGGTGAGCCGCAGTGCTCCAGGAGGGGCCCCCGCTAGCCCCAGCCCAGCCCGTGCATTCAGCTCCGGCGAGGAAGGGATGGGAGTGAGGGCAGCTGTTCCTGTCCCCTGCTCAGCAGCAGGAGAGTCAATGCGGCAGCCTCCCCACTGAAGGAGCAGTGGGCAAAGCCAGTGCGGTTGACTGAGGACACTGTGAGGCTGCCCTGCTCCTCCTCCTCCTCCTCCTCTCCCGCTTGCATTGCCTGCTCTTGCATTCATCCCGTTAGGAACACCCCAGCCCAGCCCCTGGATCCCCTCTGCAAGGCTCAGCCATGGGGGCGCTGACCAGCAGGCAGAACGCAGGGGTGGAAGAGGTGGACATCCCTTCTAATTCAGTCTACAGATATCCTCCTAAATCCGGTAAGGCTTAAAGAGCGGGGACCTATGGGAAGCAATGTGACTGACCTGTGCATGCTCAGGAGGTAACTCCAACCTCAACTAGTCTCGCAATCATTTCATCCTGTGTGGCGAGGGAAAAGGGCTGGGCCGGTCCTTTTGCAGGGTGGGAGGCGATGCAGTAGTTTCTGAAGTTGATCAGTTTTCGTGGAGTTTGTTTCAGGAAGAATGAGCTTCCAGGCAAAGGTTCTCAAAGGTCTGGACTGCCCTAAATCCTCTTTTCCCTTGCTTGCATGCTGATACTTTGTAAGGCTGTAATATTTTTACACGGGGCCTGAATTATATTGGTGACATTCATAGCACCGTGTTCACTGGTAAAGAAATGACCTTTCTATTCTATTTGTTTTATTAATTGTATCTAATGTGGCTATAGCTATAGGGCTAAATCCAGAGACTTAAGTGAGTTTTACTCAGTCCTTGCTCTGGCAAAATTCCCTTTGAAGTCCCTAGTAAAAACTGAACTGGGACTACAGCATCCCACAATGAATTGCTACATACCCATCTTTGTATGTGCATGCATGGAATACACATTAACCGTAAATGTGGTGTCTTGTGTATGTTCACACAGGTTGGAATGTTTGGCTCGTGTGTTACTTGCATTTAAAAAAATGAAATGCATAAATGCTGGGTGGGGGTTATAAAATTCTGGCCTATTAGGCAAAGCTGTGTCGTCAGCTGTTCTTGCCAGCGTTATGCATTATTTGTGTGGCACGGAAAAGAACGGGTTACGAATATTGCAATAGCGAGGAAAGAACTTTGGGTTCTGATAAGAACTTCAGTAAGTACAGATTCAATTCCAGTCTGCCAGCTTAACGATTCTCTTTTAAATAGCAGATTGCATTGATAAATTGTCGTGACAAGGTGCAAACAATTGTCTGGCTTTAAAAACTTAGCTGTATCATGTTCCACTTCATTTTTCTTTTGTGTTTTGAAGAATAATTCCCAGGGTGACAATATCACTCAAGGCACTAGGGGCTTGTGCTCTTACAGATACTCACCAGGGCTGCATGTTATTTTTAAAACCATTATTTAAACTCCCATCGGGTTCCCTGTTGACCAATCTGAGACCAACCCTTCCCCTGAAGATTTCGTGAGTGTGGTTTGCAATTCTCCTAGCCGATGAACCTGTGCTTCTGACATGATCATGCAGGCAGGATGCCTGGTCTAGATGAAACCACACAGCATTGAGAGTCAGCAGTTCTGGGTTCTGATCTCGGCTCTTCCTCATGGAAAAGCGGGTGACCTTGAGGAATCACTGACCTCCTTTTCCCCCTGTATAATGGGAATGCCAATATCTCTCTTATGAGAGGGTTAATTCAGTAATAATTATGAAGAGTTTTGTGATCCTTGGATGGAAGGTGTTATGGATGTGCAAAGTATTACATTATGGGGTGCATATTTTGAAGATGTCTTGATCCACTATGCATTTGTACTTGGTTTGCAAAATGAGCCTTGAGGCACTGAATATTATTAATAGGTTAAGGTAAAAGCTAAGGGTCTTCAGTGCTATAAGAAACTACTAGCTAATTACTAGCAAGGACCTTTTTAGAAAGAATTACTGCTAACATAAGCTGTGTTTCTGTACTGAAAATATGTGCTTGCCTTTGTAATAGCCAGCATAGCTGGAATTGGCCTGCCGAAACATCTGTCTGGTTATTGGCGTTTAAGAACTTCATTTCCACCAATCACACGACAAGGTGTATTCTGGTGGGGTCATCATTTTAAACAGGTGATGCCTGCTGGTTTTAATCTCCTCTTGATGCACACATGGGAGTCGCACGTTTTTACAGCAAGGGGAGTTATGCAGAGTCCCTGAGTACTGCAATAGATACTGTGAGCTTGGCATGTGCTGGGACTGCTGGAGATGATTCTCTTTCTACTTTCCCATGAGCCGCTTTAAATGCTGTCATTTTTGTTGCATCCTTTTATTTTGCCTTCCTTAACTGTAACTACGCTTTGCATCGCGACCTGATGGAAAATCTTTGGGAAACGAGTGACATTTACTGTAGGTATCTAAAGTTCAGAAGGAAACCTGTGAAGAGGAGGAATGATAGCTTTGTAGTTAAGGTATTGGACGAGTATTTGAGAGATGTGGATTTAACTCCCGGTGCTGCCACAGACTCCCTGTGTGACCTTGGGAAAGTCATTTAATCTCTGTGCCTCAGATCCCCATCAGGAATGGTGGAAGCTTCCTAAAAGTGGGGGGGCCACCGGTGCCCAAACCATGACTCCACCCCCCACATTGCCCCTTCCCCCGAGGCCACACCCCAGGGAATCTATTCCTGGCTCTGTCATCCCAGGCAAGTCACTTAACCTTTCTGAGCCTCAGTTTCCCTACCTGTGAAATGGGGGTGATAATACTTCCCCCACTTACTTCACCGGGATTTGAGAGGCGGAATTCATCAATGTCTGTAAGCTGCTTTGCAGTCCTCAGATGGAAGATGCTGAGGAAGGGCAATGGGTTAGTTTAGTATTACCATGATTTGATGTCCTCAAAATGTCAAGGAGTGAATAGACTGGAGGCCGCAGTGCTGGGGGTAGATGTCTTTTTCCTACTCCTCAATAGAGTGACCTGTGCATGAATGAGAAGGACTTTCTTATCTTCAGTTCAGTTGCTTGGCTGAGCAAAGCTCAGTTCAGCTGCTAGGTGTTTTAGATGATTGGTTGGGTCCAGGTTATCGGTGGAGAAGTCAGGGCTTATAGAGACACTTATAGACGCTGTATCAAATCTGGTACTGGAGCACTCTGTTACCAGGCCAAGTGCAGCGTGGTCCAATAGGGCAGGTTCTAGCACTGTCTGGGTTCCCCCATGTGATTTTTTATTTTATTTTTTTTGGTGTGTCTCGGGTCCAAAGTTGCGAGGCTGGACCAGGAACTGAAGTAGTAATTCACCAAGTCAGATGTTTACCAGAAGTTGTGTTGGGAGCAAATACCACCATCTGAACCTAAGATGACCTGGGACTAGTGACCAAGAGAGATCACAGTTGTTTTGCTTGTGGTTTTAAGTGGGATTTTCTTTCAATTTTTGCGGGACAGCTGAGTTAGAAGAACAGTTCTGGGCAGTGGTGGGAGAGATGCTTGTAGTGCTGATTTCTACAAGTGTCATGCATCGCTTGTGTGAAGTGTAAACATTCTCTGAAATGCAAAAGTTGGGAATGTAAATCTAGAGATGGGTGTATTATTAAAAGTAACCTTCTCCAGAGGTGGGGGAACACGATAGCTGTAGCAAAGAGGGAGCGGTGGAGCTCAGAACGTATGCATGGTCCTTGGTTCCCTGCTTCAGAGGTGCGGAGGTTTTGCAGCTCCTATTGTTTTCTCATAGATTTAGGGGTTCTGGGCCTAACTGATCAGCCTGTAGCATGGGGCTTGTCAGTTGCCCTTTCCCTTACTGCGTAAGTGTCTTATTCTACCCAGCCATAGCTGTTTCTCTGTTGAAAGTCTGAGACGCTGCTTTGGCCAAAGTCATGGTTCTGCTGACTCAGGCGCTTTACTCATGCGTGCAAGTCGTCAGACACATGCAGCCATATTAATGAAATATGGCCATGTCCTCTTGCTTCTCGTTAATCTGGGTCAGGGCGGTTATGCGAAGAATTGAAATGCGCTATTATTCATTGTGTGGAAAAAGGTGACTCCCTTTCTCTGCTCCCAGTTGCATCTAGTTTCCTTTCTGCTGGCTGGAAGATGCAAGTAACTCAGCTTGCACCCCAGGTTTAAGGGTGAAATTTACTTCAACTCACTAGTCACGCTCTACGCTGGTGAAGCGTGCAGGAGGCCCTGTGGGGGCGATGCACCAGGGCTAGATTGTGGTTCTGTAGCTCCTTCCCCATGCTCTGTGGGCTGGAAGAGTGGCTGTAGCGTCTCTTGCATCCCTCACGTGAGATGTTTAGAGCCACTGAATAGGTGTAACGGTGGACACTGTGCCTGTCTCCTCTCATTCACCTCTGCCACATAGACAAACAGGGGGAGCATCCGTTCATAAATCTCCTGTGCAGCAGCTCTGCTGGCATCTCCGCATGCAGAGCCCCACCATGGGATGTGGAAGCCAATTTTGAAGACTGTATGTACTGGGATAAGTCAGTGTGTCCAGAACCCAACTGGAATCAAGATGCAGGTGTTTAACAATGAGGGTAACTAACTGTTGGAATAGATCACCAAGGGTTGTGGCAAATTCCCCATCACCTGGAGTCTTTAAATCTATTCGTGGCTCTGTCTAGATGTCTTTCTAATGGATGTGTAGTTCGTTGGACTATGAGGGTATGTCCACACTGCAGTGAAAGACCCTTGGCTGGCCCGCATCAGTATTGCAGTGTAGATGTACTCCTGAGGCAGAAATCGCTGGGTGAGACTCAGGTCTGTGTTATGTAGGAGCTCAGACTAGATGATCCTAATAAACTCTTCCAGCCTTAAAATCTGTGAAAGCTGCCACCTGCAGTGCAGAGATCTGAGTTCACATCGGGTCTGATAATTGGGCGCTCACTGTCACACTGGGCCTTATCCATTATGGAATTGGCTTCAGAAACTATTTGTCAAGGAGGCTTGGTTATCTTTACAAGCTGATTTCCCCCACCCAGTGTCCAACCTACTATGGTATACAAAGGTGGTTTTTATTGAAATGCACAGACTGAATCTAAGGTGCTCTGAGCATACAGATGGCTCTGACATGAGGAGCAGTGAGGGATCTAATCAACCCAGTGACGCTGTGCAAACAAAATACTGGGGTTTGATGCCACGGTTAAGGTGCAGATGTGCTGAGTCATGCTGGCACTCTGATGGAATTGAGCATTCCATCCAGGTGACAGTCAAAAGAAGAGGAAGTATCGTGGTATGATCCAGGGGATTCGGTTAGGAGCCTGTGCGCTACTTCTGCCTTTGCCAGTGCCCTTCTGTGTGGCCTTGGCCAAGTCACTTAACCTCCCTGTGCCTTTGCTTTGCCTCCCACCCATTGGCTACCTTATCTAGATAGA